CGGCTCGCCGCCGGGGGGGAAAGCAGGCTCCTCGACTCCGGGGGGGCAGTGCCAGTGGTCGTCGTGGGCGGTGCACTCTCCCTCACCACCGGCCGGGGGAGGTGTAGTGGGATCGGGACGGCTCGCCGCCGGGGGGGAAAGCAGGCTCCTCGACACCAGGAGGGCAGTGCCAGTGATCGTCGTGGGCGGTGCACTCCCCGCTATCGCCGCCATCGTCGCCGCCGGCCGGAGGAGGGGTCGTAGGGTCAGAGGGCGAGCCGCCAGGAGGCAAAGCAGGTTCTTCGACGCCAGGAGGACAGTGCCAGTGGTCACCATGAGGAGTGCATTCTTCCTCGCCGCCATCACCGCCGCCGCCCGACGGAGGGGGAGTGGTGGGAGGGCCAGGCTCACCTCCAGGAGGGAAGGGGGGTTCCTCCACACCAGGGGGGCAATGCCAGTGGTCGTCGTGGGGCGTGCATTCCTCATCATCATCGGGGGGCGATGGAGGCGTGGTTGGGGTAGTCGTAGGACGAGTGGTGGTAGGCTGACCTCCAGGCGGGAAAGGGGGTTCCTCGACGCCTGGCGGGCAGTGCCAGTGATCTCCGTGCGGCGTGCAATCGTCTTCCTCCTCCACAGGGGGCGTCGTCGAAGGCGAAGCGACAGGAGGCTCTCCCCCGGGTGGGAAGGGGGGCTCCTCAACGCCTGGCGGGCAGTGCCAGTGGTCGTCGTGAGGAGTGCACTCTGTGTCGTCGACGGGCGGTGCCGTGGTTGTGGGTGCCGCAGTAGAGGTCGGATCGCAGTGCCCTTGCATTACTGTTAGCTCTTTCACCCTTGTGCACCGGCTCGAGTCGATCTGCTTACAATGGTCTTGGTGAGGGCTGCAATTGGCACCAGTGGGCGACGGCGGCAGAGTGAAGGTCGTCGGGCAGCTGGTCTCAGCCACCAGCTCAGTGGTAATGCTAAAGCCGGCACGCGTTAAGGCATGCGAGTCGTACAGCTGATACCCAGTGAAGCTGCCACCAGGGTAGGTGTACAGCGAGGTATGCACGAACACGCTGCTTCCAGTGAAAGGGACATCAGAAGTCGAGTGCTCAGCGTCCATGGACGACCGGAAGGCGTCCCAGTCAGTGACGGTCGCGTCAATAGCGAGCCGTGTGGTAGTCACCGTCTCGCATGGGGCCGAGCAGTCCCAGTGGTCCTCGTGCCAGCTAGTAAATGTTGTCAGCGAGTCGTGCACACATTCATAGGGCTGATTTAAGCTTACGTGCAGTCCTGACCGGAGGGTGACGGAACGACGGGAGTGCCTTGCGGTAGTGCCACGGCCAGACCGGCCAGGAGAAGAGGGGCTGTCCAAGAGCGTGCCATTGTTGGGTCCTCTGATCTCGCTGTGTAAGCTTGTGTCTCAAGATGAGGCTAACGAGTGACGGAAAGCTTCAAGCATCTCCTGCGCGGCGAACAGGAGGCTCTTATACATCCTCGCCTAAGCAGGCTCCCTGCTACCGCGGGCATGAGGACAAGGAAGCGTGGGAGCTTGGAAGCATGGGCAAACGCGCCCTTCTCCGAATGTTGGCGATCCCAGGCCAGCTACTCCCAGTTTCTCCTCTCGACAGACAAAGCCCTCCTTCTGCATTTGTCTAGCATGGCGCCTCTCACCTGGGCCGTCACAGGGCTCGCAGCCGAGGCTGTGGTGGTTGGCAAGAACCTGCATGGTGAACATCAATATTGAGAACCCCTATGGCCCGGCACGATCCTCTTGTCGGCCGCGCCCCCAAGCACAACGGACCAATGCCGGTTCTCTTTCTATCTGTCGCCTGTCGGTCGGTGGCAACGTCCAGGATCTTGGCCTCCGTTGCTTGTTCGTCGGATGTCTACAGGTTTGGGTGAGGGATCTTTTCTCGCGGATGAATCCCACGCCAAGACTTCAAGCTCACATGGGCTTGAGCTGCAGGGGACCCTGCGCGGGATTTGTGTCCAGAGGCGGCGGCGACAACCTCTCAAGGTTGATTTGCGGTTTTTTGCCCGCAAGGCCAGTCAGCAGTCTACATGGATCTCGCTCGCAATACTATCGGACGAGCAACTGAGGACAAACAGACGGCGGGATGGAATTGAGTGCCTCATGTACCAGCAATAGCCGGCATGAAGCGCAGCGGTCCGGGGCCCTCCCTTGGGAATAGCCTCCCTCGACTGGCCTTCCTCATGAGGCGCGGCCGTATGCTATGGGAGGGACCCTGAAGATGAATCCAATCATACTGGCAGACAGGTTGCAGTAGTGAGACGACAACGACGAACTTTGCAACGCCGGCGTCTCGCGATCGGCGGCAGAGACGAAAAGGAGAACGTGGTAGGCGATGTCGAAGAAGTATAAGTAGAGGGCCGTTTGCCTTGGAAGAAGTCGATATTTTCATCATCATCAGCTCATCATCTAGTACTCAACAGCCTCACAAGTCCTAATCAACAACATCAGCCAAAATGGTCTCCGTCAAGGTCCTCCTCGCTCTCCTCCCTCTGGCCCTTCAGGCGACGGCCCTCCCTTCTCCCCTCGAGGAGAACCACCTCGAGCGCCGTGTCTGCGTGCCTCCCAGCAACTGCTCCCCCATTGGAAACTGCGAGTTCTGCTGCAGGACGGGCGTGACGCCCAACAGCTCTAACTGCCACTCGCACGGTGAGACCGAATGTGGTGCTGGCCTCGTTCAGTACCACTGCGATTCCCACTGAGACTTCCCGATTTTGATGTAAGTTTCGGCTGTTCCGTGGGGAATAACTGGCAACTTCTCGAGAGGCTTGTATGACGGCTAACAACGACCAGTCCGTGAGGTCACGTTGGATGCTTGGATGCCCAAGGCTCAGAATGGAGGAGAGACACTCGTTTCATTGGCGGTTGATTGGCGGTGGCATGAAGTTGTGATCACAGAGCATGCGTTCAACACGGGCTGCTTCGTTGTTTCGCTGCGGACTATACTGCCCATACAGTACATACTTCAATCAGAAAATTTCGCCCACTTTGTTCCTCTTCACTGTGCATAGCCCGTATTGCACGTACGTGTAGTAGCCTGCGCCTGTACGTACATGCAGTTGGCTGACAGAACCCGCATTCAAACCATCAGGGTTCTCACGTTCGACGCCGCCCGCATCACAGACCCGAGATGCGGCCAGGGAAGACAGACTATTATGCTTATTACACTGCGGGGGGGGGGGGGGATCGTCAACATCGTAGCCCTGCGTCGCTTGACCTGGCTAAGGAGGGGACCAGGCCATGGGTGGACCGGCGATCTACATTGAAGGCTGAACTATTGAAGCTACTAAAACGCAGGGCAAGGCGTAGTGCTCTCCATTGGCTGCAGGGAACACTTGCTCATGAGACCTGAATACCTTGTGGTTAAGCTTATTCGAACGAAGATGTTGTCGGCGAGAGCGTGGGGGACCGGTCAGCCTGTGGGGACCCGGATGTCCTGAACCGATTTTTCCGTGTCGTTCTGGGGTTGTTGTCTGGTCCGGTTGTAAGCGACCAGCCTCCGGGGGCATGGGATGTTGTGAGCTCGGGTGCCAACGTTGTCATCGCGCAGAGGGCGGGGACCAGTGGCACAGAGTTCCAGACTGGCCGGCTGCAGCAGTCATGCAATACAACAGGAGAGAAGGGTGAAGATCATGGAAAAGAAACCGTTCATCATTCCCGTCCTGGCTGAGCATGGATTCTACAACCCACGTCCTCCAACGCCCCTACTTTATCACAACACGCGTGTGTGTCTAATGTGTACCAGTCCCGCCCGCTGTATGCCCTCCCAAGAAAGAACGCCGCATATCGCCTATCGACCCATGACTCTGAAAAGGACGCAAAGCATAGCCCTGCCGCCCGCTCACTTCTTCTCGTAGTAGTGGTCCTGCTGCTGCGCCCTGTCCTCGCCGACACCCCCCTCGACGCCGGCCTCGCCGTGCACGTGATCGACAGAGCCCCAGAATTCCTCCCTCTCCTTAAGGATGGCGTCGGCCCACTCTCTCGTCTCGGGCAGCGCAAACTTTGTGGCGACGTAGGCGAACTCGCCAAGGTCGACGCGGCCCTCGCCGCCGGCCTTCGTACTCGACCATCTGCAGCAGCAGCTCCATCTTGTCGACGTCGTGCACGAACAGGCTGTCGATGGTCTGGGCGTCCTCGTACTCCTGCCAGATGGCGCGGATCTCGCGGCCGGGCAGGCCGCCGTAGACGCCGCCGAGGAGGCCGTCGGTGATGTGGTCCATCGTGTCGGCCTCGCGCCTGTTCTTCTAAGGCTTGGGGACGCCGTCGACGGGCGTGATGTCGCCGACGAGCGACTCGGCCATGTCGTGGATGAGGGCCATCTTCATGCAGCGCGCGAGGTCAAGGCGCGGCGCCAGGGCCGGCGGCGCGAGCAGCGTGATCAGGGACATGCGGTACATGTGGTCGGCGATGGACTCGCCGCGGGCGATGCCGAAGCGGCGCCAACCCTCGCGCTTGGTCGTCTTTAGGCGCTCGAGCAGGTGGAAGAACGGCAGCGGCGATGCGGTGCCTGTCGGGGAGGGGGCTGTCGTGGCGGCCGAGGCGGCGAGGGCCTTGGAGACGGTCCAGGGGCCTTGGACCTTGGGGGTCTCGACGTGGCCGAGGTCTGGAGGAGGAAGGGGGGGCTGTGTCAGCAGACGAGGAGACGGGGACGGGGAAAAGAGAGGAGGATGTGGTGACGCACTGGCAATGTCGACTGTGCCGTTCTTCGGCTTCGCGGCGGCGATGGCATCTGATGTTGCGCTGGGCGACATGATGGTGGTTGGAGGTGGGTGGTGGGGTAGAAACAGGAAGTCTCAAGGTTGATATGGCGAGCAGAGCCGTAGAGAGAAGAGTATCAAATGCCGTGTACAATTCTCTAGCGACCACGAAGCAATTGATGATGATGTGATTTTGTTCTTATCAGATGCGGTCAAGTTTGTCAACAAACAGCCATAGCAGAGGAGAGCTGAGTGTCGAGATCCGGGCGTCGGCGCCCCCCACCAACCCCTCTAGCGCCGTCTGCGTCACCGCTTCTGGCGAGCTAGGTCAGGTCCCTTTCTTGGGCCAGGAACGTGCCGAGTCATGCTGAAGCCCACTCCAGAATCCCATCAAGCGATTGCACACCACGTAGGGAGGGAATCTGGGACTGCACGACGGCACTACGAAAAACGTATAGATTTTGATGGACTATGGTCTCAAATGAGAAGAGATAGCCTTCGCTATGTTGCAGGATTGTTTGGGTCAAAGGTATTCCATCTGGATCCTAAATAATGTCTTGCTTTGTTGGGTGAGGAGTATAGAGATCATGAGCTGGGCTGGCTGCATCCGTGCGTTATGATTTGTGACACATACCATCCTACCATCACAAGAGCCGGTATAGCTCAGTGGTAGAGCGTTCCACTCGTATTCTGCGATATGGAAAGGTCCACGGTTCGATCCCGTGTAGCGGCATTCAGTCAATCTGCAATGCGCCAGTTCTTTTTTGCCTTTCCTCCCTCTCACCCACTTTCGCGCCTCTGTCTGGTCGTACGATTCTGGTTAATTAAATCTTCTTGTTCAGAGCCGTCATCGCCTTGACTCCATAGTCGATTTAAGCCCTTGGCCCATGACGATGCGAAAGACTACATGGACCACTACAGACACAAAATATGCAGCCCCAGGACCTAAGGGATAGGTATCTTCGGGTCCCATCTGCTTTGCAGCGGTGTGCAGCGCAGTGCATGCTGGCTCCGAAGCGAAAGCAGCGTCCAAGGCCGGCGATGTCCGGTCACACAATAGGTCTTTATTACCATGACAGAACAAACATGATGAGTTCTACCGTCCTCCAGCCTGGTAGACTATTTTGCAGACATCACCATGTCTCCTTGGCCACGCAACATTGGTTCGAGCCTGGCGAGGTCTCTTAACAATCGCTAAGACACCATGTGCGAGGTCTTCGGCACGCATTGATGCTGCCCAAGACCCCACCTGTTGGTGCACGACGGCAGGGCATCGTCTTGGCCTTACACGCCTGTACTCGTGGATTCATCGTGACATGGTCTGGTCATGCCTTCCTCTTGTTGTCAATCTGCTAATCAATAATGACCAGCTGACCCCACGAACTGGGGCCTCCCCCTGGCTCTTTGGGCTCACTTTTTCTTCGAGGCTGCCTCCAGGGTCCCCCGATTATGGACCTCGCCGTGCCGTAAGAGGAGGCATCCTCGTTGTGACCCTGATGCTAAATCTGACGCGCGGAATAAACATACAAGTTACAGTCTCTCCCCAGCGTAACATAGATGTTCGATCATTGGCGAGGAACAAAGGGAAAGAGCCCCTTTATGAATCAAGCTCTCTTGACTACGCATCGCGGATTCGTGGTCCTACCTTGTAAGCCTACGATCGAACAACCGTTGAACTCCTGATATGGGCGACTAACGTCGAGACTCGGATCAACCATGCGTATTCCCGCGCAAGCCCGGCCCTTAGCTTTTGCTGCGATCTTTTCTATCGCAACGGCATTTGAGTTTACCGGGCCAGATGCCAATCAGCCGCTCAACCTCTCAGCCCCAACCACGGTGACATGGCAGCATGATGGGACGGATCACACCTCAGCATATCGACATCTCGAGCTCTCCTGAAGGGTAGAACTTGCAGACGACGGAGACAAGCACGGCGACGTGATCAGGGCGAACATCAGTCTGCAGACCGGGCATGGACAATACGAGTGGAATGCTACCGAAGCCGCCACGGCGTTGCAGCAAGGGACGGATGGCGGCATGCGCGTCGCAGAAGGCAAGGAATTCTACTTCTTGGCTCGCTTCCAGTCTGTCGACGACCAACCCGGTACTATCTCTGGGACGAGCGTTCAGAGCGGTAAATATATGCCGTTGTGGGGTGCGAAGAGGCGGGGAGTTCAGCTGCCGCCAGGCTCGGACGACCTTTGGATCTAGTCATGATGGCGGTCTCAATCATCGCTGTGGCTGTTCGGCTTTGACTGCCGCGTAAGTAAGTCATTTCTTCGGACAGCTATGCCCTGAGTGGCACTTCTTCAGCATGTGGGCCTGGATGTTCAACGCGCATCGTGCTATCCATAATGTTACGGCACTCGTACTATCACCATCCTTCATCTGACAATGTTGACATAGACTGAGTATTCTCGCGTGAAACACCCTGCGGACTGCAAATTTGTACTATCTGGAGGAGTCATCTGAGGCCGGCGAGGCACATTCCTCCCATCCAGATTCTTCGAAGTTGGGGCCCTCCAAACCAGCCACTGATGAGCAGTATGCCATAGTGATCGCTCTGCTCCTTTATGCCTCCCTTCGCCACTGCAGCCCGCATCCGTACTGAATGTCGTGTCCTCGTCCTTACTGCCGTCTTGGTGCCGGGCCTACATGGGCAAAATTTGCTCGTCGTTGCCAGCCCGGGTCTTGTATGTTGGAGGGGGCGGGGAAATGACCGAGTCGGAGACGTGGAGCCCGTAGGCGGGAGGGGGGAGGTGACTCGCGGGAGGGTGACCCTCGGGAAGCTGACTCTCGGGACAGATCTGAGGCGGCTGCAAAGGCGGTTCCTGCACGACAGGCTTTGGAGCACGCCTAAAGCCTCTAAAGATCCAGGCGAGACTGATGGCTGCCTTGGTCCGACAAGTGCGGTCCATCCATGCAAACGGAGTACACAGCTGGTGCCTCTGCCTTTTTCGGTACTTTGGGAAGCAGATGATTCCAAACAGGACGATATTCTCGACGGCCAACGGGAGCAAGAAGATAAGGCGAATGAGTACCCAGGAGACGAGGATAACGAGGCCGCTGAGGATGCGCAGATGGTTGTTCTGTGGGAGCACGAAGTTCGTGGCAATCTGGTCCTCAAGAATGATGCGGGCCGTAAAGCAGCAGAGGAAGCCTGCGACGGCACCTGTAACCAGGACCACGGGGACGATTATCTCTGGATGGCCCCCGAGGGTATGGTCGCGTCTCCTGGCACGACCGTGGCGATGAAGGCGGTGGCCGTTGTAGTACCCCCGTTCGGGCTGTGATTGTTGGCCCGGTAGCTTCGCGCTGGTATTGCCAGAATGATGGAAAAGGCTGGACAACGTGTCCAGGACCTTTTTAAGTGCCTCCATGGGATATTTGATGGCAGATTGATGTGTTATACGAGGCTCTCGGCGCGATTCAAGGCTCTCGAGCGGACTTTGGCGTGTGAAGCTGCCCAGACGTGGAACGCAGCTCGATGCGATGGCGAATCTGAACTGTCTCGAACCGAGTTTTCGTGACGAGTCGAAGTGCAGGTCTGAAATGTGGGCGGAGAGGAAAAATCGTCGTCGATTTTGTGTCTGTGATAAAGTTACGAGCAACAGCCACAGAGGTGTGCGAACCGTCCAGCCACCAAGTCACGCCAAAGTCAAAGTTGGCTTTTTCAGTCATGGAACGCCAACTGAATATGAACGAAGCGCCATTCCGTGTCTCCTCAGTCATACTCCTAGAAGCCACTCTGCCACAATTCCTTGCTGTATCCCTCGGTCAGACGTTCGTCTTCGCCGTACGTCTGATGCCAACCGCTGAAGCCGAGATCGAGGACGTAAACCGTCTGATTCGCGAGCTCAGCAGGGTTCTCTCTTCGCAGCATCTGATCGCGTTCGCGGAGGTACTTGAGTGCCGCGCTTGGTCCGCGCTGTTGTGAGAGGGCGCAGTGGAATACGACTGTCTTCTTGTCTTGCATACGTCGGACGAGGGTAGGCATCATAACGTCGATTGTCGCGAAGGGCATGTTGATACCACCCCTGATGTGGCCACCAAGGTAGTCTGCGTGATGGAGCGTCAGTAAGGTTTTATGCGTGAAGGCGAACTGTCACAATAGCTCACCATCATCGCGAACGTCAACAACGGCGACGGTTGGGTCCGTAGCAGCGGCTTGCTGTGCGAGCAGAATCTCGGACAGGTCTTTGGCAGAGATACGCTGCAGGTTGGCGAGAGATATGGTGGACATGTTTCGCGTGAATACTCTCAATCTGAAAAAGGAGAGGGGCATTAGATGAGGGGGAGGGAGACGGCGTTGTGGTCGCAAGTATTCGCGAAGCTGTCCGCAGCTGCCTCAGTTTCCATGGGTTGACCAGACCTACAGGAGGGGTCTGGAGTGGGGTACCGCTGACATAATCCATCTATATGTACCACAGCAGATGGAGACACAGTCAGTGTTTGTTGCAACTTGTTGAGCAACATCTCTTGGTCATAAAGCCCGTGGCCTCGCGCCAGGCTACGTAACCAGAAACTATGCCTAGCTTTCAAAAGGTCATCTCACATCTCAGAGCTTTTTCGTCTGTATAGCTTATCTCAGGTTTCCTTCCAAAGTGGCGCGAAAACGCGCGATGGAGCTACGGTTCTACGTTGCCGTGTTGGCCAAAAATGCCTAACAGAGGAAACATCATCGCAATACAGGCGGCGCCCCTTTATTACGAGAGAGGTTGATCACGAGCTCTTTCCTGGGCCAGGTCTGTTTGCCAGCATCTTTATTGAGTCATGCCATGGGTAAGGGTTGGCTTCCACCAAGGCGTTTGGACTCGTTACGATTCATTTCGGCATGGTTAAGCGATCGTGAAAGAACAATAACCCTGTCTGATGTGGCTTCAGGCAAGGCTTGCCAGCAGACCATTTAAATCTCAGCCGCCGCTCCTATTATTTCCCCAAGCGCCGTAGGCGCATCCATGATGATTCTGAGTTTCGAGCCTACAAATCAGTGCAGACTCTGAAGATGGGAAACCGGATGTAAAGTTGGCTAGCAAATGTGCAGCGCTGTCGAAGATCGGCATCTCAACAAGGACGATGGCAGATGCACGTCCTCGAAATTCAATCCTCCAGTTGTTGACAGGCATATGCCACGTTGATCGGCACTCCTCTTTCATATTATGTCGGTCGCCAAATCAGCCATCCCTGGCCGACATCCCCTGATGGCAACCCCTGACAACAGGCCCCCTGGCAGACCGCTCCTCTGGCCCATCACGGACTTCGTGGCGGAATTCGGACTGTCTCTGCCACTTGGAGCATGCACATACCAGGTTGTCGACATGCCGCTGACCAGGAACAGCCCTCAGATCGGGGGCTGAAGGTTAAGGTCGGGGCGGGAAATGGCAAACACTCAATGTCACCTTGCCTTTGTCGTGAAACATCGTCTTCGGCCATGAGGAAAGTGGGATCGCCGCTTCACGTCCCTGTCAAGTACTATGCAAGTCGCTCGTTTCACTGCGCTATCGAGCCCGTCGCCGGCAGTGAGATAGCCACTACTAGATGGATTGCCTTTTTTCGATCCTGTTGTCTCACTCAAGGCTGAAATCCCCGCATTCAGGGCAAGACATGTCGGCATGTCGTCGACATGGCCACTGGGGCCGGACGTGATAGCCAGAGAACTATAGGCATCTAGGCCGCGGTCAGAGCGGCCGCTGACTGCGGGCTCGAGGCATGTCGCAAGTGGCTGGGCTGATCTGCACCGCTAGGAAACTCAAGCATGCCAGCGATCGTCGCATGCAGGTGCTGTGCGCCCTACACCTTACCTACCTCTATGGGTAACCATGTCGCTCGGTGTAGCAGAATCGTGCGTCTGGCTATAGCCTTTCAGGGGGGGGCGACGCTTTCAGTCTTTGTGTCCTAGAATCTGCCGCCACACGACTGTGTGCGAGTATCCACAGACGGAGAAGTAGACGAGAAGTGCGTTTGGGTGAAGTTTGCTTCAGTGTCAGAAGGACCTCGACCTCAACACAGAGCTGGCAGTGGGAAGGGGAGCTTGTAGGTGGTGGTAATCCATGTCATTAGGGTGCGTTGTTTGTTGTGGCATATCAGCCTGTGTACTGTTCATGTGGCCCGAGTAAATATTACAACACGTTCGTCGCGTGTGTGCCTGCAAAGGAAAAATATCAAACGCTTCGCTCCTCCACTGATAATGATGACCCCTTTGTCCTCGTCTCGACCGTCCAGGTTGTCGTCTTCTTCGAGCCGTCGAACGTCAGCTCCTCCTCGCTGTCGCCGGCATCGCCGCCCTTGGACTTCCAGATCGACCCCCTTTTGCGGTCCAGTGACCTCTTGCGTTGCGCATCTTCTGACTCTCCACTCGCGCCACCAGTCCTGGCCTCTGCTTCATCGTTGAGAAATGTCGTCAGACTGAAAGGGCCCTTGCCACGGCGACTGTCTCGGCTCTCGTCTGCTTGGTTGGCCCAGCCCATGCCTGAGGGGATTCGCTGTTGGCCCGAAACCTGGTAGCCGGACGGGTCGTTCGTAGAGAGGCCCATGGCGCGGGCGACGAGACGGAACAGCGGGCGAAGCGTGGCCAAGCTGCCGGCGATAATGGCGAGGCCTGATTCGGTGGTTGACCAGATGGCAATGTCGACGGTGGCGTCTGTTTATGTCAGTCCTTGTTGTGTGTCAAGTTGAGGAGCAGGCAGAGAGAGAATACATACAGAGAAAGTCGGGGTTCTTGAAATCCTTGACGTATGCAAATCGCACGACGACGGCGGAACTCGCCCTGTGTGCTGTCAGCTTCCGACCCTCGACCATTGTGTCACTAACAGCATGCTTCTACTTACACACACGCCATCATGACGATGGGAACGAGAGCAAGACGAGTCTTGCGGTCCATGCTGAGGCTCATGATGAGGAAGACGGGAAGAATGGCAAAAGTAAAGTCGCAAATGACGCTGCAGGCGCTGTAGAGGTAGGTCAAGGCGATGATGACTTCGATGTTGACGCAGGTGCCGTTGGCGGGGCTCTTGTCCCAGAAGAAGGACACGGGGTTGCACTGAAAGAGAGTGACGAAGAAGAAGACGGCGCCGGTGAGGACAGTGACGCCCATGACACTGTAGATAATCCAGATGTCGAGTTTCCGTACGGTGATGCGGAGGAGGAAGTAGCCGATGGATATTTTGGAGGCGATCATGCTGAGGCAGTACCATAGATAGCAGAACCACCAAGCCTGCATGGCCTTCTGTTCATCGGCCGTTTCCAGATCCCAGTGGTGCCGTCCGGTGCCGTACTTGATGCCCACTAAAACGGATGTCACGAAGAGAGTAAAAAAGACCTGCTCTGTATCAGTATGGGAAGGAAAGCCGTGCCATGGCAGAGAGTCATGTTTACCATTGCGATCCCCATAAAGTAATCATCGACGCCGAAATTCTTGATCAAGAATATCCGAACATAGCAGCGCAGCAAGATGGAAACAATGGCCGCGACGAGCAAAGACACAGCAACGGCCTGTAGGGTAGGCCCGCGGTTCTCAATAGCCGCCATGGTTCTCGGAGTGTGCTGTGCTATGGGTGCACGTCGACGGGCGCGTTGGACGAGGAGGAAGGTTCATAACAGAAGCCACGGAGGACCCAGTCCCAAGGCCGTGGAACCTGGCGTCGCCAGGGTCTTATTGTTCCTCACTCGTCCTGGTCCTCGGTCCACAAGACTGATTCCCCTGATCGTCCTAGCTGGGCAGTTCTAGCCCTGTGGCGTCGTCGTCCCCGCTGTTCTACTTCGTCCCTATTCACTACTACACGGGGAGACGGAGGAGGGAAGGGGGCCAATTTCGCCCTGACCCAGCCCAGAACAGCATTAGATCAGCAATTATCGGGCATCTGCCACACGTGGATTTGGGGATCTTAGCCTCAGCCGCAAGGACATGTCTTGACCTGCAGACAACGGGAGTTGGGAAAGTCAAAGAGGGGCAGTGAAGGCAGGGTATCCCCTCTAGGCAGGTTCTAGCAGCCGGTCTAGGAAAAGCCGCGGTCAGCGGCGTCTGTTGAGGCCCCATAGGCCCCATCGCCCTAATCATGTAGCGTACGGGAAAATGTCTACACGAGGAACAGGCGACCGAGTAGTCTGTCTGAGGGCCACACACTAGGGGGCACCGCTTCGAGTTGGTCGGAGGACTCGGCGCCCTTGGGAGAGCGCTGGGAGTACTCTGGAGTTCCTCACTCGCAGGCCAGAACCACTTTTGATGTCTTAAGTCGCGGGACCCCAGTTACTGCCGAGGTCTCCAAAGGGCCGTCTTCACTTATACCCAGTCTGTACCCACTTAACCATGTGTCCGCCAATGCGAACGCAATATGACGGGTCGTTTCTTGTGTGCCGAGTCATGCGGGCTACCCGGGAGTTCGGCCATTGCGTTAGTACGCACAGGTACCTCCTGTCATCTTTCGATGAAAGGTACGTGCTGCTTCGTGCAAAGTCGGCGCTTTTGGTGGGGTTTGCCACTTAATGCCAACCTATGCTGGTGACGAAATCTCATCGCCGCCGCCCTGAGAATTTGCTTCGGGGTGTGTACCGTCTTGGGGTCAATGTGAATCTCCTTACTTTCCTCGCTGCTCGAATGAGTCGAACAATTCAGAGTTTTACTCGTACCTGGCTCTGTTCCTCAGCTCGCTGTCCTGAGGCTACGAGAGGCAATCTGCTATGAGCCGTGGCTGGGGTCATCATCAAACCCAATCAGGCGGGGGCCCAGGTCCCGAGAACCAGGGACCGCGCCGCCTGTTCTAGAGATGGACATGTGCAAGTGAGCCCATCTCAGGTGGCTTTTTCGCTGGGACGACAAAGTTTTGTCTCACGCAAGTGGACGGTGAAGATGAGCCCATGGCTGGTGAGCTCGAGACAGGGGGGGTTGCATTGCCCTTATTCCAGTAGTCATTTTCGCGCGAGATCGCTGATGATCGCTGCATGAGTCCACAGTCGCGCCGTACCGCATCCCTTTGTCTTTCTTGTCTGCATGGCCAAACGGCGACAATAAATGGTCGGGATTGTTTGAACCCAACTTGAGGGCGTGAAAAGAGTCGCTAAATTTTACGATATTGAATTCTGCCATACTTGTAGGTAGAGAAAATGAACGAGGGCCGATTGAAGTGCGTTCGCTTTCGCTTAGGTTCCGAGGACCGTCTTAGAGCGATCGCATGTACTATCAACGATATTCCGATCCGCTCCCATGATGTGTTTTGATGGCTTATGCTTCAACTGCCGAGTGAAGCAGAAAATTACCCATCACCATTTGGACCCTGGAGCAAACAAGCAGCAGACTAGCAGCAATGATTGTGTCTTTGTCTGCCCAAGTCCGGAGAAAGGAAAAGGGGAGAGACTTTGGCTCATGGGAAATGCCAGCCAGTGATCTGATGACTGGCCAGGCTTACGGTCTGTAGCGCGCTGGTACGAAAACAATCGACGACTGATCAGCAAACTGCCAAGCCGTTAGACGCACTGCTATTGAGATCGTCTGTCATTGGGGCATGGACCAGCGAATCCGCCGTCCACATAGTTCTGCACAAGCGTTGGCGCAGGAACAACGTCAGGCCGCAAGCTCGTTTCTAGTGTCTACCTGAGTTCAGTCCAGATTCAGATAAGCTGCACCTTGATGCTCCCAGTTCATCAACGAGATCATTGCCAATGTGCCATGTTACCGCCACGTTCTTTCATACGAACGCACCACAGTGTGGCGCTTCCACTACCTCGATGCGGACGGTCCTACTTCCGCAATAGGCGCCAGGTCCGGAGACTGGGGTTTCGAGGAGGCCAGTGGCCGGAAGGTGGGCTGCCGAGACAGCGTTCAGGAAATGCCTGTCATGCACGCACCCATACCGGTTCGCTCACTGGCAGTGGCGCAAAGATTGATCGATCTCGGTCTCTACTGGGACATGTCACGCCTGACGACTTGACTGGTCAACGGGTAATTCGAGCGGAGAATTGACGGTGTATAGTCGATTTCTGCGTCTTCCAGGGGGAAGAGTGAGATGCAGCAGAGTGACGTGACATCGGAGATTTCTAGATACCACTCTGACTCAATTGAGTCGAGACCACTGACGCTGCCAGGACAAAGTCAATCTGGCCAGAATGATCGACGACCGATGATGGCGTTGTGGCCCTCTTCCGACCGGAGGTACTGCGTGTGTGTATGTGTGAAGATTTGGCTTAAGAGGCGACTCTTAATGGTCTTCAGACCCTCGTCAAGCCAGACCGAACGGTCAGGCCTCCAAAGCTCCCAAGTGGCTAATAGCAGACGGATGATATTGCATCAACGATGCCTGATCGCTGCTACGCTATTGAAACAAAACGATCAATCCAAAGACAAACACACATGAACCATCCTACGCCGAAGCTGTACCGTCTCGTGCGAAGCGACAGCCCAGTTGGCTGTTCCTCCCAATCCTGTCTCGGATGGCAGTGTGTGGCCTGAGCTTCCCATCGATCGACCGACTCTCATCTCGGTTTGCAGAATCTTCTCTATGCATACATGCCAGCTTTCTCTCGTGTGCAATTACTGATATGCTCGCTTGGAGGTATACGGGTTAAGCACCTAGCTGTCGCCAACCCTTGTCGTTGACGCCTTCTGACTCCTAGTCACGCCCCCTTCTCAACACCAACACCAGACGAGTTTCAGAGTCCCTGTCATCGCAACCCTTCAGTTGGGCCAAAACGTCAAAGCTCAGTCTTCAGCAGCGAGTGCAGCCCCACCATGCTCACGTCTCCCAGCCTCTGAGAACGGCTGGCCTTTGCAACGTGCATTGCGGCGTCGGCGCGGACATGACGTCTATCAGGCGGTACCAAGCAGAGGAGGGGTTCGAGGCCTGCGCAGCGCGTGGCATAAGGTGACATCCGGCGGCCAAGCAAGCATGATCGACAAAACCGCAACCCCTGTGGTGTTTGGTCGTACAGACGTCAACCAGAAAAGATGGACAGCATATCGAGGCAAACCCAGCCAGTCTCGTCATGTCATGCAGGCCTGAGCACGTTTGTCAAGCGATTGACGTGAGGAGCGAACGGCACAGACGCGTCCCGGATCGTCACGATGACTCTCGGATGCCCTATTCTACCTGGGCAGTCACCATCTGTCATGCCCTTTCGTCTCTGAGGCCAGTTCTTCTCAGCTTTCTTCCACCCCCACCTCATGCGAGCGCGCTTTGAGAAACCGGGTTGCGCCACGACACCCTCACGCAGCATGATCGCATCACACCTGAGGTCGATCCCTTGCATCTAATTCCTAATTTCCTACTGTCGTAGGCCTAGGGTTTATACTTTATCACCCACATGGCGAAGTAACGCAACGTGAAACCCCTCCCCTTCCCTTTTCCATCTTCGATTCTTTCAACCACCACACGCCGGGTGTGTTGGTGTACGTTTTGCTTCGGTTCTCCCGCGCTTGAAGCGCAAACGCTGCTGGTTCAGCTTCGATGATAATACCTTTGGATGAACGTTCATCGTACAGTGCAAGCTTAATTCTCGAGGCATTCGACGACACACATTTCGCGACAGTTCTTTGAGCAGCGCAAGATAGCCTCGCGCAATGGACAAGGCCACGAGGATAAGCACTATCGCGAAGCCCGCCACGAGCCATGGAGCGCAACACAAGGCGAGAGTAGTGTCGCTTGACGTACCACCACCAGTTCCGCCCAAAGATCCGCCCAGACCAGCGACGAGCTCGACGACTCGATCCGGGCCCGCGACGAGACCGATCGCGAATGCTACAGCGAAGCTCCAGGGTGCGACAATGTCGTCAAGGCCAACTACCAGCTCGACAAGACCCGGCACATCTTCCACACTCGCGGGAACCATGTCCTCGATACAAGGGGCGGGATCAAAGATCAAAGCAGGACTACGGCCGCTCAAGCTAGCAGCACTCACATCGCACCCGACGCGCCCGATGCCGACCATCTCGCGACCACAGACAGCTTCCAACACGACAGTCGCGAGTCCGGTACGGCCCATGACAAGTTCGACGCGGAGGTTTTCTCGTTCAACTACGATGACTGGAAGAACAATCAAGTATGGCTCGGGCAGACACGCCACGACAGAACTTAGCCCTCAGCCGTCCGATGATGAGGATGATCCTCTGGTAAGGGACTACCTGTACTCGTTTTATTTCTCGCAGGCCTTCTCGACTGACAATCGTCCAGAACTGGCCTCTGTGGAAGAAGGACCTCAATCTCTTCGCACTGCTCGTGACAGTGTGCCTCGTGAGCGCCATGAAGACAGCCTTCATCCCCGTCGCCGCCAAGCTTGCCATCCAGTTCCAGGTCTCGCATACCGCCATTGCATCCTTAACAGCCCTTCCCTTCATCTTTTCGTCTATCACAGGTCTCGCCAGCGTGACCGCTTCCAAAATCTGGGGCAAACGTCCCGTCTATCTCCTTTCCATGGTATTTCTTTTCATCGGCTCCTTGTGGAACATGCGCTCAACCACCTTCGGCACTGCTCTCGGCGCTCGCATCTTCCAGGGCATCGGCTGGGGCGCCTTCGACACGCTCATTCTCAGCTCGATCCACGACACGTATTTTGAGCACCAGCGCAACCCGCGCCTCGCCGCCTACGACATCTTGCAAGCCGCGACAGCCTGGGGGCCTCCTCTGCTCAGCGGCCTCGCCATGCGCAACGCGGGCCGCTTCGAAATTCATTTCGAAATTTTGAACCTGTTCTTCATCGTCGCCATCCCGCTTCTCGCCTTCGCCGCGCCTGAAACGGCGTACGACCGCTGGTTCATCGCAACGCGCTCCCTTCCGCCCGCACGCCGACCTGGACGACGGCCCGCCGCTCGATCGGCAAGTTCAACCTCCACGTACCTAACACGCACGAGGCGAGGCAATATCTGCGCACCATGAAGCCGATCTCCTCCTTCCGAGGCTTCGTCGATAACCGGACCCTCCTGCAGGGACCCCGCGCTCTCATCGCCCCGACCACTGCACTGCTGGCGCTGGCCACTTTCCTGCCGTACTCGGCTCTGTGGGCTATCGCGCATGTCGTCTCGCCGCTCACGGCCGCCATCCTTGACGAGGCGCAGATCGGTTTCCTCCTGTTGGCGCCCTTCCTTTGCGGCGTTTCGGCCGCCGCCCTCTTCGCTTTTTGGCGCCGCAAGGCCAGAAAGGACTTTACCCTGCTGAACCTCGTCGCGGCCCTTGGCGTCGGCACCGTCCTCGCCGCCATCGGAATCCTGTCATTCGGCCTCGAGATTCACGGCAGCCGAAACCTCTCGTTCAAGCTGCTGTCTGTGCTCGCCGGCTTCCTGGCTGTGGGTGTCTACGTGCTCAACGCCCTCGCTCGACCTGTCATCTACCGGTCAGCGCAATACACGAGCTCGAACTGCACGTTTGCTTGCGTAACGTGGCCGACATGGACGCCGGGCTGGTGTGCTGGAAGAACCTGTTTGCAGCATTTTTCATACTAGGGGTCGCGAGCGCCGTGGAGGCCCGAAGGTCCCGCAGGCCTGCGATCGTCCGTCATTGGCATTGGTGTTTCCCAGATCTTTGTTGCCCTTTTTGTTGGCACCGTCTGGTGGTTCATGGACGAGAGGCTCAGGCGGTTGGATGGGCGAGTAATGGGACTGGTCGACCTGGGCATGTTGAAGAGAGCCGGCAGCTTCTTTGATGAGGATTAACTACACGCAAGCACCATTGAGTGTTTTTCGTGTGAGGCACATTTAAGTTTTGCCACCGCACTTTTACAGAGACACACTTTTACAGAGACTTTTTTTCTTCTATCATCACCACTCATCGTGCTCCTTTGTTAGATTTGCATTGCGGGTGTCATTTGCAACTATTAGTCATAGCTAACACAGCCAGAATAAAGTCCTTGCTCTCAGGAATAGGTGCAGGAGGACTGCCTAGGTCACGGGCAGCCGACCATATTTCGAGCGCATATCGTGATCACTTACAGGATGCGACGTCTTCGGAAGTTCCCGGAAAACAGGTGAAGCAAAGAAACTTTTACCAGGCGTGTCCATATCCCCTCCGAAAATAGCGATCACCATAAAGGTGTCATGAACCCTGTTCAGTCGTCCCATGTCTCGAACGCCCCAGATCGGTTTCATCTCGTCCCAACTTCAGGCCGGCATCCGAATGCAAGGTGCCCCGCACTCGGCCGTCTACTTTTTAGCTCTCTGCTCTCGCACGCTCTGCAGCTCTTGCCAGTATCCGTGGGGCACAGCGAGCAGGAGCTCGGAGCCGAAGTTCTTGATGCATCGAATCGGGTCTTCGAGCCTGCCATCGATCAGGCAGTCCAGATCACAAAGAATGAAATCGATCCAAATTCTGCGAAGCAAGCTGCGCTCTCCCTCTGGCGTGTTCGCCCAGATGTACCGCGTCGCCTTGAGGATAAAGTCTTCGTCATAGAACTCCCAAGGCAGGCGTATGAGGCAGTTGCGCAACTTGTGGAGACAGATTTCCTCGAGGCTCTGAATTTCGCACCGCTTGGCTAGGGTATACAGCTTCATGTGGCGGAAGATGGTGACCGAGCATTTCGTCTTGTTGATGGGCTTGTGCTCAGCGTCCTGATCACCAGGAGAGTAACCGTCAGGTGTGTCGTGGCGGCCCTCGACGAAACGAAGACCGTGATAGTAGATTGCGCCCTTTTTGCCTGTCCAACTGTCAATCCACTCCTTTAGATTGTAAATGTCGTCATCGTTGCCGTCGTTGGCGTGTTCGGGGAAAATATCGGTCGTGTAGTCGGTCCCGTAGGCAAACTCGACGAGGTCTGCGAAAGTCGTAGGTTCCACGTCCTCCCAGAGGAACTTATCTACGACGTTACCTTCGCCTCCTGCCGTGATATTCTCACGCATTTGTGATGAGAGAGGGAGCAGAATGCATTCATGCACTCGAAACTCTTCGTGCTCGAGACCGATCTTGAAGAGAACAATGGGAGATTTGAGGACCCTGGCAGGCGTCAGCATGGCTTTTCAAAGGCCTCTCCATTGTATGTGAGAAATCATGGCATCGCGGAACCTACGATCCCATGTTTGGCTTGTGAATATTCGCCATTGTGAATGGCTGATCGTGTGCGTCCGAGAGGTTATTTGTCTATGTGTATGCGTTCGAGAACTTGCAGAATGAGGCGTGGTTTTGAATTTAGATCGTGATGTTGTGATGCCTTTTCCACAGTATTGATAGTGTGTAAATATAGAAAAGGAGGTCAGAAGCACGATGGACTTTTGATGGACTATTTTGAACTAGCGTGGAAACTGGCAAGTACGCAGTTGAATAGGAGGCAAGGCATGAGCCTGCTATAAGACATACCCATCAACGGCTCTTGCCATGTATGCATGGCAGATATTAGGGAAGGTGACCCTCTCTATTTCACAAACACCATGTTGGTCTTGGTGAATGCATCGGTGGAATGCACACTCCAACATCAACTACGTGGTCATCCATATCACATAGCTGGAGTGTATGTCCAGGAACCGATTGGAAGTATCAATAATGCAAGAAAAATGAATGGCCTCAAAGATGAAATTCCACTGAGAGTAATGAAATTATAATATCACTAGCTTCTTATGCCTAAGGTAGGCGCTCGACATTGTAATGATGGTGTCCATTGCATGAAGGCAAATTTATACTGCTGGGGACTTGTATTGCAAACAAGCCCCACGCTCACAAACGACTAATTATTGATTGTTGTAAGGTTCTTGTAGCAGTGATTACTGGTTCTTGGTATAATGATATGCCTTTGCGCTGCAGTCCTGTTCATATCAAGTTAGTCGATATCATCGTCAGAGAATGATGTATGAAATCCGGCTTGTAGAGTCATATTCACAAGCAAGGCGCAGACAGTCACAGTGAGCAAGTAAGTAGTAGGCAACCTGTATATACTCGAACCTAAAGCGAAGGTACATGTGCAAGAAAGTTATATATGTGCAAGAAACCACAACCAAAGATATGTGCATTTTCAACTCGTGTCTCCCCATCATCATTGTCATGCCAGGGGGCCGGAAGGAGGTCACCGTCTCGCGCTCTCGCTACCTCGCCGCCGGGCTCACGCCGGCGCCGCCCGGAGACGGCGCGCCGCATATCCGGAGGTGGAGGAGAATGAGGAGGGGAAGTAGGAGAGGGGGTGCGATAGATGGAGGACCAGAAGCCAGCTCGGAACCGCTTCTTCAGTGGGAAGAGGTTGCGCGCGCGAGCCGTTAAAGCCTTTGAGAATTATACTG